GAAATGAAAGATATTCATGCAGGCATGCAATTCATGTAATGAAGTCTCAGCCTGACCTTCTGTGTGATTGATTCTGTAATTTAGTTTTTTCAGCCAGTACTTGAAATGAAATGAAATCATGTTGAACAAGTTTTAAATACCCATAGTGCAACGGGAGAGGTGGAGGGAGGGAGGAAGTAAGGAAAAGAGATGAGAGTGAGGAGAGAGGTAGGTTGTATACTAGTCTTTTTTAAGGCATCGCAACAATGTTTTTGGACCTTTTTTCAAAGGGGACAATTCGTACAGGGTGCATTGAGCATGAACAGTATATGAGCTGCATGAAACGAGAGAATGTGTGTGTGTTTTGTAGATGGAGTGAGAGAGGAGAGTGAGTAGGTGGAGGAGAAATAGGAGTAGAAAACAATTTATCTTCACGCTACCATGGTCTCTGCAAGCATTCACAATTCCATTTACTTATTTTTTTTTCAAGGAGCCAGTTATGCAGGTGCCCATAAATGGTTGAAAAATAAGGCAGCATGTTGGTTAAGGTTCCAGGGCAGCTGTGAATATGTGCGGGGGGCTGATAAACTATTCATAATAGAGCTGACCTTTTCACACTGGCCAAACTTGTAAGATTCATCCTCATAATTACCATATAGATGATTTTACTCCTTTTTCTGTTATGGAACATTTCCAAGAGCTCCACGGAAAGATTGAATGGAAATTGAACTTGTTAACATTCTTTTCAGCATGGAACAGCTCATACCAAGCTGCTTTTAATAAACTCTCCAATTCCATTCCCACCCCCCACAGAGTCCCGAGTCCGGTATCTTAAAGAGCAGACCTGAGACTCTCAGCCTTTGACACGGCATCTTCTGATTCTTATCCCGATCGTCTGAAAGCAGTATTGGTTGTGTTATGGTTATGAACACATGCTGGAAAAAGAGGTTTGGGGTGTCCCTCCTGTCCCCCCCAGTATATTTTCTTGACTGTTTAGTTGCGGTTGCTGCTTTTGATGAAAGGGGTGAGGATACTATTTAAGGCAGAACCAAACAGTCATCCATCAAACGTCTCAGTGTGTCGGACAAGGGGCTCCTTGTGTGGCATGGCTGTTTGGTCAGCATCTCTTTTTGGCGCCTTTTAATGTCGGAAGCTTTTGTGCCTGTAGTAAAGTATGTTGGGAAATAAAGATAAAAGGAGAAAAAGCTTATTTTTTTGCTGGAATACAGTCAGCTGAGATGGGCTGATTGCTGGAATAATAGCAACATTTGCACAAGCACACGGAAACACACAGAGGAGAGGAGAGGGCACATCTGGCCTCTTTGCTCTTCAGATAAGAAGTTATTTACAGATTTATGAAGACTATCAAAAGCATCTGTGTAGATGTGAGCTGTGTGTCAGCAGACAATGTTCCAATCAAAATGCAAATGGATGGTGTGTAGCAGGGACATAAATAAACAGATTGGATACTGACTCACTCATTCTACCAGCTAAACCACTCTGACAGCAGAAATCACATTTCTTTCATTGCCTACAAAGGCTGCTATTAGTAAAAGCTGACTTCTGTTTGTGTGGCTTTAGTTTGAATGCTCCATTCAGCCTTCTTTCTTTTCCATCTACCGATTCTACACATAAATATCTGTTTCATACAAAATCATCTCATGTTTTCTTTTTCTGCTGTATGATCATTGGGAATTTGGAAGATAATGTTGTCAAATCATTAGATGCTTCAAGATAAAGCACAGCCTCTTTTTCATAATCCGCCTCGGGAATTATTTCCACATCTGTTCTGCTTTGTGCGACCGGATCAAAGTGCTCCTGAAACTAAAGACCAGTTCTGACCGCTTCTGAGACCTCATTTACCAACATAGTCAGTACATGAAAAAAATCTAAAGAGTAAGTGGGCATATGGTCGTCTGACAAATGTTGCATGTTCAAATCATTGATCATGTTGAAGTGTTCACTTGGGGGAGAGAGCCAGAACACAAAGCCCAGCCAGAGACTCTGATTATAAATATGAGATCTCAAAGGCTGCCTTACATCTCTGTGATTCCCTCCGCTCTTTACATTACAGATGTATAGAGAATGCTAGTGATTTCATACGGGGCATTGCTGACTGTTAGAGTTGAAGTGTTAGACACAGATGGTTGTGACTAATGAACACAGAAGACAGGTCTGACACAAAGACTGCTGCTGGCTCTGTCACTGCATTCTAGCGATGAAACTAATGCAAATATGTTTATTTCTGTGGCAGTGCAGTTCTGTCATTGATTCTTTTACATTTACATTTACATTTAGTCATTTAGCAGACGCTTTTATCCAAAGCGACTTACAAATGAGGGCATTAGCAGAGAATGAAGAGAGAAGTGATCGATATACAGGTCAGTAGGATTTTGTGATTTGCGCCATACTCTCTCTGCAGCTCTGAGCTTAGAACGATACTCACGGAGAACATCAGATAGCCAAGGGGCAGAAGAGGTGGTACGAGCTGGCCTGGAAGACAAGGGGCAGACAGTGTCTAAACAAGACGTAAGAGTGGAGCAGAAACTATCAGTAGCACGGTTAACATCAAGAGATGATAACTGTTCAGGAGAAGGAAGCAAAGATGAAACCATAGCAGATAGCCGGGAGGGTGAGAGTGAGCGTAGGTTACGTCGAAAAGTG